GGTATGTTGATACATTATATATATATATATATATATATATTATGAAACTAGCATGTAACTACTGGTCTCAACATATAAGGCTTCGAGGTCCTTGTCAGATACCTCATTCGGTTGGTCAGAATCCAAATAGTGCCTGAAGAAATTAAACTGCTCATCCTTACTTGGATATAAGCTGTAATCACAATCATAGCCAGCTTATTCATTGAAGTGATTCCCTATGTCAAATCCCCTCTAATTGTAGGATCCATATTCTAGAGAGCTTCTCTCTAAAAAGTTTCTCCGATTTCACAGCTTCTTTGTTCTTGCTTATCAATCGAACTAGTTGTGATCTCAGCGGCCAGGCTAATCCATTGAAATTGTCGATCTTTACCTTGGCTTATATTCCTCAATCGGGTAAGTTCCTCTTGAATCATCCGATTGATTGCATCATTATTGTGCTCTGTAAACAAGTCTCTGGTCAAATTATGCTTGGTACAATGTATGCACCTCCGGTGGGTGGACAATTTTGATCAACTGGAGATATTCCCAACCCTAACAATGGCCGATTTTCTTATGTGGAAGTTATTTCTATGGCCTCAGACGAGGCTTCAAGTTAAGCCTCTAGAAATATATAAAGGAAAATTAGCTACTTTCTTACTCCACAAGAAGAGGAGGAATCAGCCAAAGATTGCAGATTTACTATTGTTGTGGATTACATCCACCATTGGTACTCTTCTAAAGATCGACAAAGCCTAGTTGGTGAAAGTCTTTATTTCGTATTTTATTTTAATTGAAAATAATTTTCAAAATTATCTCCTAGCCAAATTTGATGAAAGTATGATTGTAACTATTTGGAACAACTCTTTTTTTTTTTAAAAAAAAAAGGAATTAAATTGCTAATATATTTTGAATATAAAATAAATTTAGAACTATCAATTTTCACATTAGGTTCCCTAATTTGTGGGTAGTGGTGAAAGTCTCTTTTTTTTAAAAAAATAAAATAAAAATCAAGTAGGCCATAAGGCCATTTCATTAAATAAAAATGCAGTCATCTGGCCAGCAAACTAAAAAACAAATAAAAATACAAAAAAGACCACAATAGAAAGACACAAAACTGACTGATCCAAAAGAAAAAACTTAGAAACTTTCTCATTTCTCAATCTAGCTTCCTTTGCCATGAAACTGCCTTTATCATTTTTTTTTCATTTAAATAAAAGTTTGGTGAAAGTTTTACTATCTTTTTTTTATTAAATTAATTTTCAAACTTATCTCCTATCTAAATTTGAACACAAATTTAAAACATAATTTAAAAAAAAAATAAACACAAATTTATAACGTATTTTTATGAAAATTTAAAACGCCCAATTTTCACGTTAATGAGATTCATAATTCATGGATAGCTAGTGAAAATTTTTACTTAGCTTTTATTTTAATTTAAAATGTGGAATTGTTTATTTCTTGATTATTATTTAAAATAATGAATCTAAATTTTTGAATGTTTTAAAAATTAAAAAGAAATATATTTATTTTTTAATTTGTTTTATAAAATATGTATATTTTTCGTAAATATTCCTCTTTCTTTATATGTATACTTTAGATCTTTTAAAATTTGCCAAAATACAATATTTCTCCATAACTTAATGTAATTTTTAAAACTCAAAAACAATTCTTACGCATTTAATACAAACTAACAAACAACGTAAAAAAAAAGCCACATAAGAAAACCTATATTACCCACATAAAACTTTTGTGGGTAATAAATCTTATCTCTTTACGTATTATAAAGAAAAGAAAGTTTATGCAAATTTTATATTATAAGATTTACAAATTATCACTTATATTTATGTTTTACTTTATGAATTTTCAACATAACATTGATATATTTACCTGGATATTTAAAAAAAGAACGAAGTGTTATGGTCTGACAAATACGAATCATCACATTGTGGTGATGAAATGAAACTATGTTTATTCCTTTACCGTTGCCAGTATAATCTTGCAATGTTTCAAAATGCTAAATGATGATCTACTTTGTTGTATTTCTTTTATCATTTTCAGTCATTTTTATGTTTCTTCTTGATTATTCTTTTTTCTTCTTCTTAATCTCCTTCGTCATCTTAATATTCCTTTTGTTGTCCACTTTCATCTTCATTGTTGTAATATTGATATCATCAACATCGTCGTCATTATCATTGTAGTCGTTGTCATATTAACGTTTTCAACATCATCCGATAAATAAATTAACGTTTTCAGCATCATCCGATAAATAAATAAATTGCAAGCATATATATATCAACTTTCATTTATATTACATATAGAGAGATAGTACTATTATCTTCATTTATATGTAAATTAAAATTAAATATAGTTAAATATATTTGTTAACATCTGAAAAGATAAATTCGTAAAATAGTAAGAGTTTATTTAGAATTAAGTTAATAATTTTTTTTTCTTTTAAAAAAATAATATCTTAAAATTCAAATACTTCTAATCTTTCAATTCAAAATTTTCATTATAGTTTCATCATTATCTGCATGTTAAAAAAAAAAAATTAAAAAATGAAAAATATGAAATATGCAGTAAACAAAAAATCATAAATTATATGTAAATACATCTAACACAATTTAATTTTGAAACAAAATATAAGATGAAAAAAATTAAAATATTACATGTTTGGCATAGTTATCTGATATAGTCTTAAAAGTATTTCTCCTTCTTCAACTACATATATTCATAACATAAATGGCTTGATCCTAACTTCATCAATTGATCATCTTCAACATCTAGAACTTTCAAAATAAAGTACAATTATTGATAATGTAAACCACAAAAAACAGAAGAAAAAGAGAGGAAATATGCAAAAAAAAAATTACATTTCCATGAATGGTAAGGATTATTATTGCTTTGAATTTCCTTTATTGAAATGCATTTTTTTCCTAGAAAAACTAAAGAAAAGACTGTCCTATTTAAATTTAGTGAATTACGGTTGAGTTTTTTTTGGGATAGGAAGTTAAGTAAGTGGGTGAGGAATTTTAGGGATAATTATTTGTAGTAGAAGTTTTTTTTTTTTAAAACAAAAATAAAAGTTAAAAAAGAATAGATTATTAGATTGCTTTAGAAATTCTGTAGCAATGGATGCGTTCTTATGTTTTTCTGTTTTTATAATAATATTTTCTTTGCAAATTTTTTATATTGCTTAAATATGCTTTAAACCTATTTAAACGTTAGGTTGCAATATGTTTTTTAAAAAAAAAATGTTTTATATTGTTATTTATTTTTAAAGTTGGATTTAAATATTAAGTTACAAAACAGATTTTAAAAAAAAGTTGTTTTATATTGTTATTTGTTTTAAAATTGAATTTAAATGTTAAGTTTCAAGAATGTTTTTTTAAAAAGGTTTTATATTGTTCTTTGTTTTTAAAACTGAATTTATTATTTAAATTAAATAAAAATATCAGTTTTAAAACTAAAATTCAAGAATAATTGTGGTACTGATATATAGATAGATGTAAAAAATAATACTTAACATTTACAAAAATTTTAAAATTATCCCACTGTTTTTTTTATTTTATAAAAAGGCAGTTAGCCTTTAATTAGGAACAACTACATTCAAATTATTATTATTTTATTTTTTAAAAAAAATAAAGAATACAAGTTCTAAAAATGACATTTTATATTGATAGTGAGTCAATAATTTGTACTCTAGACTTTATTCCATAGGACATGCACCGTTATATCAAATCAAATAATGTAACTAAAGTTATAATTTTATATTCCAAATTAACATAGTTAATAAATACGTGATGATTAAACCTAGTTAAAACAAAAATGACATAATTAGCACAATGTAATTATTGTTTTTTTACCACCATTTCTACAACTAACTACTAATTGACCGTTTTAAATATTTTTTAAAAATAAGTTTTTAAATTTTTTAATGGTAATTATTGTTTTTTTACCATCAGTTTTTTAATTAATAATAATTATAGTTTTTTTGTGGTGCTGACACGTGGCATTTTTTCTTCTCCTTTTATATATAGATAGATAATATATTTATATATTTTGGAAAATAGTTTTGATTCATTAACCGAACCCCAAAAACAAAGTTCCATGGAAAATGATTTTTTATTTATTTTCCCGTGGAGACACATTACAAACATTAATATATGAAAGAAGAAAACCACTTTTGTCCCTTCCAATGTCTCCTCTTATTATTTTCTTCTACCTTTTTTGTCAAAGACATTGTACATATTTTCATACAATTAGATTAAATATCAGTAATCTAGATTAGGTAACATAAAATTACAGTACATAATTTGCTATAATTAGTTAAGACACATTAATTGTGTAACAAAATATTTACACTATAACCATTTTTTTTATTTCACACTCGGTGTTCAATATTTGCATTGAGGCTCGATTAAATTCAGATTTATTTTCCAATGCCTCTATCAAAAGTGACTTTATACCCAACAAACTCAAACTCGAGACCTTTAGTCAAGAATAAAGAAGCACTTACCACTCAATATTCAATATTCGCATTGAGACTCGATTAAATTCATATTTGCTCCCCAATTCCCCTATCAAAAGCGACTTATACTCAGCCGACTCAAAATCGAGACCTTTAATCAAGAATGAAAAAGTACTAAAGTATTCACATTGGAGCACGATTAAATTCATATTTTCTTCCCAATGCTCTTATCAAAAGAAACTTTGTATCGAGCAAACTCAAACTTGAGATCTTTAATCAAGAATTAAAAGTACTTTAAAATCCGCATTGGAGTTCAGTTAAATTCAAATATGCTTCCCAATGCCCCTATCAAAAGCGACTTTATACCGAGCAGACTCAAACTCGAGACCTTTAATCAAGAATAAAAAAGTACATACCACTCCGTAAAAGGTGGGGTAATATCAAATTTGTGGAATAGTAGATGCATGTAGGTCCAAGTGGTGTTTGGTTGGTTCATAACTCCCCTCATCATCTCTTCCCCTGTATATAAAACCCCTCCAAAAGTTCCACAACCTCTTCATTCCAAACTCCATTATTTTCTCTTCCCTTAACAGCACAAAGGGGATTTCAAATGGGAATGCCACTTTCTTTTCTTCTCCTTCTTACTCTATTATCTCCTATTTTCACATTCTCCTCTCATGTTCCTGACCCTGAAGTTATAGTCCAAGAAGTTAATGAGTATGACACTTTACACCCTTACTCTTATTATCAAAAAAAATTGGGCTCGGTTGTATGAATCCTTGTTTATTACAACTTTCTTATTTTTATGCTAGTTGTCAACATATTGCAATCATGGTTTTTTTTGTTTTTTTGAGGGAATAAGTAAACAGATCAAGATTTCTATGTACTTGCGTTATGAAGGGTACTGGCAGGGGACAGTGGGGAGGTCGACTCCCTGACTATGTGTCCATAAGAAATCGTGGAGTCAATCATTAATATATGAGTTGCTCACTTACATTGCCCCAGACATCTAACTGCATTTTTTTTTAACTGAAATGGAATATTACTATCAAATTACACATTGTCTTTTTTTTTCCTTGGGTTTTGGACCTACTATGCTTATCATCTTAGTGGAGTTAAATCTCACGAAGGAGCTAAGAGAATCTTATTTATTTTATTTGTAAAAACAAAATGCAAGTACAAAAATGAGTAACAACCCCCTAGCAGAGACTGGTGTGACGAAATTCAACATTTTATTCGTTCGTGTCATAGCTCTATAATTCGGATGTTGACTCCTTTTTTTCTCACTATTGTAGGAAAATCAATGCATCAAGAAGGAACTTAGGCTATTTATCATGTGGCACAGGCAATCCTATTGATGATTGTTGGAGATGTGATCCTAATTGGGAAAAAAACAGACAAAGACTAGCTGATTGTGCAATTGGCTTTGGCAAACAAGCAATTGGTGGTAAAGATGGTAACATCTACATAGTTACTGACACTAGTGATGATCCAGTGAACCCAAAGCCTGGAACATTAAGATATGGTGCAATTCAAGATGAACCACTTTGGATTATATTTTCTAGAGATATGGTTATTAAGTTAAAAGAAGAATTAATGTTGAATTCATTCAAGACAATTGATGGTAGAGGTGCTAGTGTACATATTGCTGGTGGTCCATGTATAACTATACAATATGTTACAAATATTATTATACATGGATTAAATATTCATGATTGTAAACAAGGTGGAAATGCTTATGTTAGAGATTCACCACAACATTATGGTTGGAGAACAATATCAGATGGAGATGGTGTTTCTATATTTGGTGGAAGTCATGTTTGGGTTGATCATTGTTCTTTGTCAAATTGTAATGATGGTTTGATTGATGCAATTCGTGGTTCTACTGCCATTACTATTTCCAATAATTTCATGACACATCACAACAAGGTAATTAATAATCTGCCATATATAGTGTAAGAACTTGAGTTAAGTAATTTCTTAACTCAATTTATCAACACTGACCTCGTATGTTCTTGATGTAACCTTTTTTGTTCATTTTCAACTTTAGTTGTAAATGTATATATCGACTTTAAATTTTGAATTTGTGTCTATATCTATAGGTAATGCTTTTGGGACATAGTGATACATTTACTAGAGACAAGAATATGCAAGTTACCATTGCTTTTAATCATTTTGGAGAAGGGCTTGTGCAAAGGATGCCAAGGTAAGAAAATTAAATAAAATAAAGAAATGTTGGATCTAATATGCTTTTTTTTTTAAATTATTATTACATTTATTAGGGGTAATAAGACAGTTTTTTTTTTTGAGATTTATAGATGTAGACATGGATATTTCCATGTGGTGAATAATGACTACACTCATTGGGAGATGTATGCAATTGGAGGAAGTGCTTCTCCAACTATCAATAGTCAAGGCAATAGATTCCTTGCTCCTAATGATATCTTCAACAAGGAGGTAAATTTCACTCACTTTCCAATCTTTTGACAAATAAATATATTTTTTCAAAAAATAAAATGTGATATTTTGGTTGTTTAAATGTTTCAAAGGTATTTAGCAATATTTTAATTTTCAAGATTGGAACTTTTTGTTAATAAAATATAGTACTAGCATTTTTGTGTCACTCTTTCTTTTTCAGCATTCTAAAGTTGAAACCAGTAAAAGAAAGAGTAGGTCAAAAATAATTTAGGTGAAATAGTGATACAACAAAATATAACTAACTTTCATAAAGATGAAAGTTACTCTTCAAATAAGTTTGCACGTTGGATCCTCCAAAAATAGTGTATTTTTTAAGAATTCGACACAGGCGCGACAATAATTTCGGAGAGTCTTGAGCAACTTTAAGATGAAAGTGGAGTGAAAAAAGTTGGTGAAATAAAAAAGTATGGTTAGTTACTTTATTAACCTATTTAAGTAGGGACAACAAAATGTGACAAGATGTTTGTTACACAGGTGACAAAACATGAGGATGCAGCAGAAAGTGAATGGAAGAATTGGAATTGGAGATCAGAAGGTGATTTAATGCTTAATGGAGCATTTTTCATAAGATCTGGTGCTGGAGCTTCTTCTAGTTATGCTAAAGCTTCAAGTTTAAGTGCAAGGCCATCTACTTTGGTTAATTCTATTACAATGAATGCTGGTGCACTTGGTTGCAAAAAGGGCAAAAAATGTTGATTAATATATATATATATGATTATTAATAATCTTAATTAGCACTATATGTTCTCTTTTTCTTTCTTTTTTTAAGTGTATTGTTGAGAAATTGTGAAATATTATAATCTCTCAGTTAATTCCCATGTAGTATGTAAAAATGGGTTGATGAGTTTGTAACTTGACTCCCCCTCTCATTGTAATGTTATGTGATAATCAAGGATCAAGTGTGAATACTACTACCACATTTCAACTAGAAATTATTGTGCCCCAATTTCCCTTGTTACTACCAATGTTGCTCTGGTAGTACTCTTTAAAAATGCCGATGGGTGTGCGTGTAGAATATTTCAAAAGTAGTATATTTTTGGAAATTTGACACAAATACGACAACATTTTTGGAGAGTCACGTAATATGGGTTGTTAAGTTTCTGTCAATTATGCCCTTCCATTAAGGTTATATTGATGATTTAGTCTTTTTATGATCCCTGCCAATTATTGACAGCAACTCTTGTATGTATTATTGAATGAATGAATATTGTGGGGCATAATAATATTGTACTATTTGTATAAGGAATAATTACCTATGTACAACATTTGCAAGTACTTGTTTAATCATCAGTATTTGCAAACCCTAAATTTCAGTATTTGAAATACTAGTGAAATATGGAAAAATACTTGTTTGAAGAGTATTTCAAATGAAATAATCATATTTTTCATTCATAAATCTTGTTTTTCGTCCTGGTGAAATTTATGTTTAAACAAAACGACATTTCAAAATAACTTCTTTTAACTTCAATTTTGAGCACGTCTATAAAATAAAGTGAGCATACACCACCCTAACTATTTAGTTTTCATTGAGAAGAAGAGATTACTTCCCATTAAGAGTGTCTAAAACAAAATCACTTTATTGAGCTAATGCTACGAGCATCTGGAATCCAACTTATCCCGGAATTTCCATCACCTAATATTGCCATTTATTATTTCTGTTGAAGGTGTCCCGCTTGGGGGGTTTCCTTCACATGGGTTGGTTGATCAACATAAATGCAACTTTAGTGAAATTAAAAAGGAGGGACTTTTTTGTACACTATGAATAGGACCATGATTTGGTAGACTGAAATTTGTAGTCACCAAAATGAATGCATCTTTTAGACAAAAGTCATAAATGAAGAGATGTAATTTTGCAGATAGCAATGATACTAAGACCTAACCGCTCAACTACCAGTAGCAACTAACATGCACATATTAAAAGCCTCCTTATTCCTCAGATGAAACATAAATTTGTCACCATTCTTGCCACCACCCTCCCCATAAATAGCCTATCCATGAAACTTGTGCCATTTCATTCTACTCTTCTTCTATGTAAGCATCAACCTCATTACTTTTCTCTTTTTTAATAGACGACAACACACCATTCAAAACTCGATGAATAATAGCTAGAGTTCAAACGTGTGAGTTGAATAAATCTCACACATAGCAATCTTACCACTAAACCAAAGTCTTATAAGCTAGCATCAAGTTGAATGTCAAAATAAGATGAACAATTTTGACATATAAACTTAGCTAATGCAACAAACTGGGTCGATTCCTTGAACTCCAATCTCTCACTGGAGTTTTTATAAGTTGTGCAACAGTCTCATTAAGTATAGTACTGACTGAAAATTTCCTATTTAACAAGTACCACAAGACATTGAAAATGTAAACCACAGAACATAAATCTCAACTTTGAACGTAGGATGTCAAAGAAATTAACATGATTTCACTTGTTCTTAAATTTAATTGAACAAGTTAACCATCAACAGCAGAATGCACATGACCTGTCACTAAATAGTTGTTAGTTTCATCACATTATAGAAGTAATTCTCAAAGAGTGGTCTAAATGCTCCTCCATGGTGGTACCTTAATAATAAAATCCATCAGGCACATAATCATTTTAATATAGTTGCTACATCATTGCAAATAAAGTATACCATGAAGGTGCAAATAATCTTTCAATGGAGAATACCGTGACAGAAACTGATCATCAATCAAGTGAAATTCATCAACCACAAAAATTCTACTCAAATAGACAACATAGAAGCCAAAGCATAAAATCGTGAAAGTTTCACCCAACAAAACTTCTGGTTTGCATAGCCAGAAGGAAAACGTTCATCTTCTCTAAGACGAAGAAAATTTTGCATTTCCATACTTAACATCAATACGCGGAAGGAGTAATCACATCATCAATCTTTAGGATCATCTTGACAACCTGAGTTGCAAGCAAAATCTGTTGTTGCTTCCCAATTAGAGTCTCGAAGACATTTTGCTCACGCATGTCATTTGTTCCAACATCATTACAATCTATTCCACAGCAGGGATTATTCTCCTGCATAAAAGATTTGACGTTAAGGTGATAAACACAATTGTTAGAAATGGGAAATAATGGCTTCTGTATCTTTTTCTTTTTCTAACACTCTTAACAGCTGGAAATGTCATACAACGACTCTTTTTTTAACAAGTATCATACTAACAAGTCAGTATTACCTTAATTTGCTGAGACTTAACAGCAGATAGAGTTTCAATAGGCTGGAGACCACTGTTCTCAGCAAGTGCCATTGGGACAGAATCCAAAGCATCTGCAAATGCCCTGATTGCATACTGCAGAAAGAGGGATTCAGGCTTCAGCTAAAGACACTTTAATACAAAAGATGAATACAGAAAAATATTACAAAAAACAACTAAAAATTATACCTGTTCAACTCCTGGATGTTTATCAGCAGCCGCTTCAACAGCAATTGAGCAAGAAATCTCTGCTGAACCACCACCATATACAATTGAATTGTTGCGAATAAGATTTCTAGCAACACATAAAGCATCATGGATACTACGTTTTGTCTCCTCTATCATCATCTTGTTGCCTGTACAGTGATCAAATATCAGCTCAGCCATCCTAATATATAACAGTTCTTGTCATACACAATGTCATTTCATGTAGTGTTGGATAATCATTGGCACAAAACCTCAAATTTGCAAGGTAAGAAAACATGTTGCACAATGTGCTCCACGCAAAACGAATGGCACCAACCTAGATGAGAGAAAACTATGTTTTACTCATATGTTTAGTTCCCATCTACCAAGTTAGTTACAGTTAAAGGGGGGAGGTGGGGTAGTAAACCAATCAACCAAACACTCTAGAGAAATTAACAGAAAAGTTTTGATTTGGTTGAGTCAATTAAAACCCATAGAAAATCATAATTGAATTGATTATTTGTCTATATCTTATGAAAATGCACTAAGTTTGGTATGACAGAAAATATACGCAAGTGAAAAATCAATTTTGGAAACATTTTGCTTGATGATAACTTTTAAAATTTTCTTTCTTTTAAGGTGAACTTCAAACAACTACTTATGGAAGGATAATACCCCAATAATTATCTCCATCTAATAAAAATATAGAGGGGATATCTACGCTTCTATTGCTTATGGAAAATAGCAACTATTTGAGAAATGCCTTTCATTGGGCCTTTAAAATGCACTGTACGTTTTTAATAAAATGTTTTTATGGTTCAAAGATTTGTTTGTTACATACATTTTAAACTTCATCGTGGTTGACAAGTAATTACTAAAGAACATCTTATTATGAGGAATGGTTTTCACTCACACTGTAATGTTAAGAGGAAAAATATTTTTTTCATAAATGATAAATCAAATCATATCAAACCATTGGGTTTAGACATAGTTTGTTTGATTTGGTACCTCCAAGTAAAGTTAGGACCATCTGAACCATGCAGACACCTAATTAAACTGACTGGCTGAACTTTTTCAACTCGGCACAAATTGGAGTTGTCACTCGCCTCTACTTATCGGGAAAAAAAATTCAAACAAGAACTAATCTTTCACTAGGATTAGCAGTGTAAGATTTAAATAAAAGTCCACACAATAACTGTCTGGGTGGTTACGCTAAAGCAAATTGCCATTAAGGAAGCATTTTTGGGAAGGTCATGACATAATGTACCACAATTTGGATTCAGGGAGCACATATTTGTAGAGTTCAATCATAAATAATACTGTCAATCGAATAAAACATGTACAGACAGGGCAAGGGCAAAGGAAAGAAACTCCAAAATTTAATCAATTTCTTGTGAATTTTCACCAACAATTAGAAAATAAACCACAAACACATGCTATTTTCATAAGTAGCGTAATAAACTAAGGATTTTCAACAGGCAATATTGATCAACAATTAAAAAGTAGACAAAAAAAAACATGCAATTTCCATCAACAGCAGAATTAAGGCATCTCCGTAGGCAATAGACTTACCACCACGGATAAATACAGTTACTGCTCTTGAATTTGCACAATGCTCAATGTAAATCATTCTATCCTTTGTTGTACCGAAAGCTTTCTCCCGAACAATACCAGCCTGAACTTATAAAAAATCATGTTTAGCATAGAGACTACAGAGAACTACAAATCCACAAGTGCATTTCACAATAGAAGGTCAGTTAAATGGTGAAGCTCTCATAGAGTACGTGGCAAGATATGATGTCCAGTAATCCAACATATGAATGAATTAGAAACACTTCCACAATATATTCATGCAATGTTTGGCATTAACAATATATAGGTAAAAAGTGCATTATATATCCATAAATTTTAAGATAAGCCTATTATAGCTTTAATAAAACTAATCAATCATCTTCTAATAACTTTCACATATAAATCCACAACATTTCATAGATGCATAATGTACATCCACAAACAGAGGGAAAGAGTACCTTGCCAAGTTTTTCAGGTGTCAACTCTTGAAACCTTGGTACTATTCTCCCACCTAACCAAATGCACAAACACGAAGAAGAAATTAAATTAAATTAGCAGATCCAGCAGAACCAGTGAAATATGCAAGGCATCATATTCAATAAGTAGACACAAACCTGTGGCAATTGCTATCAGCTCCAATTCCACACCACCTACCCATCTAACAGCAGGCAAATTTCTATGCATTAATAAGTGATTAGCTTCATCATCAAAACCCCACTGGCAGATAACTAAGGTAGCACCAACATCCTGTTAGATATGTCACCCTTTTTAGACAAATGAAACTCCAAGAAGCGAAATCACCAGAATACAAGGAAAATAGGTCCAGATAAAAATAAACTGCATGTAAAAGCACACATATTGCAATATTAAGTCCTAAGAACACACACCAAGCCCCCAAGGCCTAGCTCAAGTGGCAGAAGGTGGAGGATTTGTGGCTTAGGTCGCAGGTTCAAGCCCCAC